ACCCAAGCAGCAAAGAAAGTTTCACAGCCTCACGTTATTCTCTTAAATCGGCCATCACAAAAAAATGATGGTCCAGCAAAACTTTCATGAAAAAACTCAATCTGACCAGAAAGGACCTTCCCAGGCGATGCCACTGAGTGCACTAACTCATAGCAAGTTGCTTGATGCTTGCCTAATGGGAAAAATGCATACTAGGAATGCTCCTCTCTGTTCTGTGCAATTCCCGTTTTTAGGGGGTACCTACTCATACATATTTGCATGTGCTGCAAGTATATCCAAGGAGTCCTGGTGGCATAGTGGCTTAAATAGTGGGCTGTTAACCACATGGTTGATGGTTCAAACCTACCAGTCACAATGCAGAAGATAAGGTTCTCTGTTCCTATAAAAATTTGTAGTGTCAGAGACCCTAAGGGTTCCTATAGTGTCAGTTTGAGTCAGATTTGACTCAGTGGCAGTTGGTGGTGGTTGCTGTAAATATAACCAGTTATATTGTAGAACAATCGATGCATTTGAATTATGGATACCGAAAGTATTATGGATTGCTAAAAGGACAAACTGATCTGTCTTGGAAGAAGTGTGGCCAGAGGCAAGGATGGCAGGACTTCATCTTATATTACATATTGTCAGGAGAATCAAGTCTCTGGAAAAGGACATCATGGTCGGGCAAGTGGAGGTGCAGTGAAAAAGAGGCAGGTCCTTAAGAAGATGGATTGACACAGTGGCTACAGCAGTTGGCTCAGGCATAGAAACAATTGCAAAATGGATCAACCAAAGTGCTTTGTTCTGTGGTGCACAGGATCATTATGGGTCGGTATTGACTTGATGGCAATTAACAACAACATAATGTAGAGCATAAAAGGGCTAAAGTTAGGCAAACTTCTTAACCATAACCAAACACCTTGAGCAAATCAGTTACTGGGCTTGAGGGCTTACTACCAGTCTTGGGAATTGACTGTTCTAAATATTTTCTTGAGTAGCAACTAGGGTCTTAAAAACTTGTGAGCAGCCATCTAAAATACAATTACTGATCTCTTCCTATCCAGAGCACAGTGAGAAAAATCAAAGTCTTAAAGTAAAATTTCTTACAATGGCCCTTGTACTCATGTAACCCCAATCAAACCATTGAGTGAGACAATCCAAATAATGAAACCTAAAACGTAGGTATTTCACTTGGGAACATTACAGCCAATTTACTCACCCCAAGCCAGAGAAAAAAAGAAAAGTTTTATATAGAAGGTATACCAGCAAGGGGAAGACAGGGTTTTCTAATTCTGCAGTCTTGGGAAGCCACAGGGACAGTTCTACCCTGTCCTGAAGGGCCACCATGAGTTGGCATCAACTCAATGGCAATGAATGACCAGCAAGGAGACCAACAATAACACAGATTGTCCCTGTGGTGTCCTGTTTGAAATCAAAATACATACCTTTGGCTTTGGAATTTATACCTTGGGGAGTCACATATAGATGTTTTTCATTAACTTAGGTTTCTGGGTAGCCATGGGAAAGGACTGTGGACCAAGAGCAAGCAAACAGCACACTAAGGTTCATAAAGTCTTAGACCAGTCTCAGGATGTCTTTGTTGACTGAAAAACAGGGCCTAACTTTTAATCACAACAGTAAGATAATTAAGACTCAATTGTCTGGCCTTTTTGTAGGTGACATGAGCATCTAACATGTCTGCTTTTGAGCAATGTAACAAGTTACAAAAATTTCTGAGACTCCAGTCAGTAAAATACCTTAGTATTCTGTATGGGAGATTTTTTTAACGACATTAACTAACTTGGGTTACAAGAGGGGATTGATCAGTTTTTATTACCACCGCCACTGACTTTAAAAGAATGAACCCCCTCTGAAGCATAAGCAGAAAGCCCAAGACCTTTAGAAGAGCACATTCCAGGTCTCTGTCTGATGTGGCTGATGGTGCTGAGACCAGAAGCACCACAGACTGACATGGAGACTATCAGACAGTGAGGCTGGTTTCCTCGTCCAGGAACACAGAGACTAAGGGGCCATGTGACTAAGAGGCTGAGGATTGGAGAAAAACTTGGCTACCAATAACTATACCCTGTTTACGGATCCTGATGTATGGTAACCTAAAAACTTCCCTAATAAAAACCCCAAACCAAACTCACTGCCACCTGGCAGATTCTGAGTAAGAGCAACTCCATAGGACAGAGTAAAACTGCCGTGGATTTCTAACTAACTCTATAGAAGCAGAAAGTCTCATCTTCCTCCTGCAGAAACTGGTGGTTTCGAACTGCTGGCCTTGCAGTTAGCAGCCCAGTGCATGACTACACCACCACCAGAGCCCCTAACTTCCCTAATAAAGCCCCATAATTGTGAATATTATCTGTTGAGTTCTGTGTGGCTATTGCAACAAATTATAGAACCCAGCATATTAGCAGAATCCTGTGGGAGGAATGGTTGGTGTCAGTGTAGGTGAAGGATGGAATATGGATGTGTTAGGGACATACAGGGGTGTCTGTAGTATTAAATTAAAAATGACGTCGAGGGAGTGGGGGGCCAGCCCCACCCACTGCTTGAACTCACTGGTTCAGTAATACTACTTCTGGGTTCAGTAATGCACAATTGTACGGTTGTGATATATAAGTATTATATTAAAGTCATCGAGAGCATGAGAGATAATACAATAATACATTCAGACATATTACATGGTAGCATTGCTCACCTCCGCCCCGCTTGGTGGTCCTC